TTCTTTATTTAATGGAGCTAAGGCGTAATTGCATTACTCCGCTGCGCTGTCGCTTTCGCAAAGCACCACTGTGATTAACGATAAAAACTGGCATTTAGTCGGTCCCAGTTTGCGGCCTTATGTGCGAACCTGGAAGGCTAGGGAGTGGGCACGTTCTCTCGTGAACAATTCGCACTGCACAAACTTACATATCCGTCACGTTCCAACATTAAGAATATTTGTAAGTGTATCTTAAAATCTCAAATCGGATAACTTAAGTCGCTACCTGCTTTTTCAAGCGTCACGCTTTGGCAGATATTATCACCTTTGTAACAAGTGTAGTCGATTATCATCGGGCCTTCAAAAATAAACGGCTTTTTTAAAATGATTTTTATGCAAAGCCTTGTGGCCAATGGTCCAAAACTGCCACATCCCGCGGCATGACTTCCTTGTTAAAATTGCACAAAAACACCACCTCGGGTAATTTTTGTTGAAATTCGACCTGCTAATGTCGGCTTTTCACGGAGGGTCGGCATCATCATCATCATCCCTGGAGGACGGCGTAGGCTCACGATTTCACGATTCGCGAAACGCTAAGGAGGAAATCATCGACCAGTACTGAACGGAAAGAGGGAAACCGGCGCCCTTCTCGTCCATCCTTGAACCTGCCCGTTTTCAACTCTCAAAAGGGACAAAAGAAAAAATAATTAACTCTTAATAAATTATTATTTCCCTACTCCTTTGTTCCTTCTGATTAACTGTCATTTGTAATTTGGGCTCCATTGTTTCCAGAGCTTGTTGCTTAACACCGTTGCCCAACTATAATTACGGTTTTTATTGTTTACAAATCTTAGTTTTCCGAATCAAAAAAGTTGACAGTATCAGGGATTTATGTTGACATTTGGAAAGTATTGTATATTAAATTTAAAGAAAATATATATTTCCATACATCACTCGGTTTTTGGCTGTTTAAATTAAGAATATAACTCAAATCTATTCAACCAGTACAAATATTGTTCTATACATTTACTTTACAGACGCCATAATTGTGATTTGGCGTCAATTTTTTTAAATTATTATTATTAATACTAATGTTTCCATGAAAATCTGCTGAATTCTATGGGAAGGAAACTAGGAATGTGGCAATTTATTAGAACTACAAAAATACATATTATATGTTTGCTTGTTTAAATTGAGAAGCAAATTCCTGGTTATATGGAATTCAATTACATAGTTACTAATATTCCTACCGTTGTTACATGTAAAATTTATAGAATTAAACTGAAATGGATCTTATCTGAGACGATTAAGTCATCATAGATCCTTACGATTTTGGCTTGTTTTTATTCAAGCAATCAGTGCTTTATAAGGCCACTTATCAAATCCTGTAAAAAACTATGTAAAATTTGTGGTGATTAGTGACCGTTAGTCGATAATGATTCAGAACTCGGGCACTCTCAACACGACACGCAAGAATGGCACAATCGCAGAGAAGACAAACACTTTGAGCCCTGAAGATGATCTCAATAAAGATCGAAACGTTGGCACGATAAAGAAAATGTTTTTCTGGAACCTATGTCAGACCTCATCTCACGATTTCTGGTTAATCATACTTATAAAGGTTGTGTTTCAGCACTGTGCTATTATAATCATGCTTTTTTTCTACATATTTCAATTTTTTTTTTTTTTTTTTTTTTTTTTTTTTTTTTCCCCTAATGGCTTACAGTTAGATAGTTTCGTACTTATTTCAAATGCTACGGGAAATTTTTTTGTGGACAATGCCTTAAAAAACTGTATAACTTTTCAAAAAAGCACAAAAAAATCAAAATAAAACTATTCAAATATAGAAGAGAAAGTGTATTAGAATATTTAATTTTTTTATTGTAATATTTCATAGTTTTTGTTTTCTTGTTTCAGGTAAGCGGCAATTTTTTGACATCAATTAAGTAAGTGAAAATTTCAGTTTTTCTGAAACCTACATCACACCAGACCGCATCTCACGATAACATCAAAACTAATTTTGCTCAAACTTAGAAATGAACTAGAACAAATACAAAAGATGGAAATCTTGTTAAGTAATATTAATTGATTCCGACTGTAGTTATCTTGGAAGGTTGTGATTGATATTTCTTCACCTATTTTTAGTTAAATTTTTACGTCAAGCATGCTAGTCGTGTTAATTACTATTCTCATGGTTAGAAGATTAATGAAATAGAAGATTTGAGATGAATTGATAAAACACATAAACCTAACACAGATGAACCAGATTAAAATTGATTATTTTATTTTTAAAACAACCGCATGTATTAAAAAATAAAGTAAAGACCTAAGAAAACATTGTGAGGAAAAGGGAAAAGTTTACTAGAAAAAATTTGTCGTTAATGTCGTAATAAAACTAGTCTAAAAATTAGTTGAGAATAGTTACAACCAACTTGGTTTACGACTGTATCTTAATAGGCACTTTTTGTTACACCTTAATCTTTTTGTGAGTAGAAATACTTGGATTAAATATAAAAAATATTTTTTCCATTGTATAAATTCACTCTTTTCTATATCCTACATGTATTTGTTAAATTTAAACAACGTTTGTAAATCCCAGGCCCTGAAGATGATCTCCATAAAGATCGAAACGTTGGCACGATAAAGAAAATGTTTTTCTGAAACCTACATCACACCAGACCGCATCTCACGATTTCTGAATAATCATCAACTGACGGTCACTAATCACCACACCTTTGTTCCAATAAATTATTTTTTTTTTAAATAGGGCATGCGATCAGTTCTGGGTTCAAAACCTCATGTTGCCCGTGCCCTTTTAATGGATAATACAGCAAAAGTATTGTAAAGTGGTTTCGTTAAGACCTCCTGTATGACAGAAATTACTTTACTTAATATATTAACCATTGGATAGAAAAGCTTAAAATAAATTGTTAAAATTAATTCTGTAGGATCTTGACAGACTTGAATAGTCACTATCTTAATAAATTTTCCGTTAAACTATTACTTACAATTATCCTCATATGTCGATTTAATGAAAAAATCTTTCGACATAAATTATAATAATGATGAAAGCCAGTTATGAAAAAACAAATCCAGCATAATTTTTATCAACCTGGAAATATTTTTCGACTATTTTTTTTATACATTGTCAGTTAATTTATTGTAATTGATTTGACCGTGGGTTTTGCAAGGAAAAAAGTTCATCTTTATATGAAAAATTGACTTATTAATAATAACGTTAATGAGGAAACAAATATACTATTTTTAACTAATTAAAAATATTTACCATCGCCCGATTTACATAGTTTAAGTTGAATTATTCTAATTGATCATGGGAATATATCCGACAAAAATGTGACTTACATTAATGGTAATGCGCGGTAGCCGAGTGGTTAGCGTGAGAAACTCTCGGCTCGTGACCCCGCGGTCGTGGGTTCAATTCCCGCCGTCTCCTCTGGCCTTTTTTTCACTTTACCATTCCCCCCCCCAAAAAAAATACTCATAATAACTACTCAGAGATCTTGAGATGCGGTCTGGTGTGATGTAGGTTTCAGAAAAACATTTTCTTTATCGTGCCAACGTTTCGATCTTTATTGAGATCATCTTCAGTGCTCAAAGTGTTTGTCTTTTGTGTGATTGTGCCATTCTTGCATGTCGTGCACTCTCAACACGACACGCAAGAATGGCACAATTACACAGAAGACAAACATTTTGAGCACTGAAGATGATCTCAATAAAGATCGAAACGTTGGCACAATAAAGAAAATGTTTTTCTGAAACCTACATCACACCAGACCGCATCTCACGATCTCTGAGTAATTATCGATTAACGGTCACTAATCACCACACACGCATAATAACATTGTCATTGGCTAATATGCTAGAACATAAAGCCGTAAAAAAAAAACAGTCATGCTCTGTCATGGGGATTGTAAACACAAAAAATGAATCCTTCAACGAAAAATTGTGTTTATGCAAGGCTCTTTTGTTTTGACTGAAGCCGAAGCACGTACTTAACCGAGGACATACAAGCGATAATAACGGACCCAGAGGCATCGTGATCAGTTCCAGACTGTTTACCTTTGATGTTCAGAATACCATATTTAGGAGCTGCCCCAATGTTTTATAATTGAACGTAATTACTCCGAGTCAGTTTTAACAGCTCACGCTCAGCTTCTAAGCAACGACTAACCCTTGTTCGCACCATTATGAGCCCGTTGGTCACGATCTAATGGCCAGTGGGTCAACTTCGTTAACGCGTTAGCCAATGGATGTCTCCCTAAATTGGATCAAGGGCTCCTTTCTAGTTGTCGGAGAGGATGCAATTTCCATATGTCGGACTTAATCAGCAATTTGGAACTCGGCAGAAAAAAATTAGCCGTTGCATAAGTTTGTTTTGTAGTTGCTATAGATGGTGTTATGCCGCCTCTGCCTCAACGGTAATTGATTTAGGTAGCCGACCTCTTTTGAATTAGGAACGAAACAAATAACGGCATTGGTCAATGGATGATTTATGCTTTTAAAAAAGTCTATTAAAGTCACTTCGTCGTTATTCTTCTAAAGACAACGGCATTAAATAACTATAAATTATTCTGTCTGTCTGCAGTCGTGGTACTTTCCAATTGCGACATTCTTTTTTATCTCTGCTGTTCGAGTAATATCTTACCTATCAGTGTCTAGTTTTTCTACCCTCTGCACTTTTCAAAATATAATTTTGAGTTATTTCTCACTTTAACAGATTTTTATGGATCGGTGGACGATTACCGATCCTGCAAATTACCGTTACTCATTACTCAAGTAAACTGAGAAACAGTCATTTATTCCTATTAAGACGTGCTGTGTTAAGTAATATTTATAAGTTTATTATACGGAGTTTAAGCGCAAAGTGAACAAGTTTTGCACGTCGGTTTAATCACGGTACCAATTAGATCTCCAAACATTAGGTACATCTTTATTGGAGGTTGAAAGGTCAGTGACACCCAAGGTGTAGTTTGCAATTAGGTTGATCTTTGTTGCTTTACCTGGGATGGATTTGCCTAGTTCCAAGTACTGCAGGACAGAGGGACTTAGAAATCCTGGCGGGACCGATGGGTTGAGAGGGCCATTCCTCTCTTCCAGGTCTTGATCCGGGGAGTCCAAAGGACCTTCGACGACCGGAGCGCGGCTCCTTTTTCTAGCTTTTCCTTCCTCACTCCCATCTGGAAAAAAAATTAATTCTGTAAATAAAAATCATCATACAATTTAAAATCATTATTGTTTATGGTATAAAACTTAGAATTAGAAATTGGCTGATTTCACTGTGATAACAGAGCGAAACCGAATGACTGTGCTGTCAAGAGAAATGATAAATGGTGGAGTGGGTGTGTTGTTCAATCTTTTTAAAAAGAGAGTTCCTACTCACAGTAAGTGAAGATTCAAAAACATTAAAAAGATTGTACTATCATTTTCAGATCCAAAATGGATCAAAAATGGAAAGATCGTCCACTATATAGAAATGGTGAAGGGTGGAGTGAGTGCGGTGTTAATCCTTTTAAAAAGATAGTTCCTACTCATAGTAAGTTGTTTTCCAACAATACGGATTTCGAGCTTTTAGGTTATCATCAGTTTAAGGAGTTCTACAACCACGTCTCTCGACATGAGTTCCTTCAACCTGATGATGAGCTAAAAGCTCGAAATCGGGATCGTTGGAAAACAACTTACTGTGAGTAGGAACTATCTTTTCAAAAAGGACGCATCATCCACTTGCATAACATTTTCTTTACCATTCAAACTATCATCATGCAACGTCATTTTTGAAATGTTCCTCTACCTAAAGGGAAAAATCGTTTTTATATCAGGCATAATTTTAATTAAAAAATAATATCTGGATAATTGTTTTAATTTATAGATTTTTTTTCTCTTAACCGCTTTTAAAAAAATTAGAAGTATTAGATGGAAAACAGTTACACCAGAGCTGATTTCAAATAATTTCTGGCCATATTTAACTCGTCAGTTAGATCAGACATTGCCTAACAGGGTTTCAAAACCGAAACGAGTCAGATTGATCACTATGACAGATCCATTAAAAAGCTAAAAATCAAAAATTCCATCCTTCCTGAAAGACTGATTTCAAATCATATCTGACGATATTTAACACCTTCCTTTAAATTGAATGTCACTGAGAAGCAGGAATGTGCCAGTTGCAGAAGAATTGAGATGACAGATCCAATAAAGATCAAAATTGTTTAACACATTTTATCCTCGAAATCAACGTCAGTTTTTAAATTTGAATTGACGGCGGGTAGTTTTTTTAAATATATTTTATCAGCCTAAGCATCGTTAGCGCCTACCCGTTTGCTCCAAGGACATAAACATTTCCGTAATATTTTATAACTTTAAATCAATGCTAACAAACCAAAATGAATCGCCCGCAGAGCTTTAAATAACCGAATTTCGAGAAAAATGTTTTGTAAATATTTATATCTTTATGTTTGGCAAGTTCTCATTGGATGGTGGAAATTTGTCTCTAAGATTTTCCTTTGAGAACACAAGCTTTTTCTATAAATTCACTAGTTTTCGTGGTCCGCTTGACCATTTAATATCTTTCAATTAATTAAGGTTTTTACTTGAGATAAAAAAGTCTGTGTCACGAGCGGGATTCGAACCCACGATCTTCGGCTAGGTACGCTGCTGCTCTACCACTTGAGCTATTTTGACCTCGATCCTCTCGGACACTAACTTCCCATCTCAACCCCACCTTTTGAATTTTCCCTCCTTTTTGCATTTTTCAAATGTCGTGTAATCTATTTGATTCTCGGCGACAAATGAAATGGCCAAGGGGAGCTTTTGTGAAGGTATACTTCATTTTAACTTATTCATTTCACTAGTTTCCGTGGTCCGCTTGGCCATTTAATATCTTTCAATTAATTAAGGTTTTTAGTTGAGATAAAAAAAACTAGTGAAGATGGGAAGTTGGTGTCCGAGTGAGTCGAGGTCACGATAGCTCAAGTGGTAGAGCAGCGGCGTATCGATCGTGGGTTCGAATCCCGCTCGTGATACTTTTTTATCTCAACTAAAAACCTTTTCTATAAAGTAAAGTAATTCTTGTCATGCAGGACGGCTTGACTTCAAACCTGTTGGGTGTCGCGGGCGAGGGGTCAATCCACTTTACAATATTTATTTCCTATTATGATAAAATAAAAACCCGTGGGCTATGCCGATAAAGAACCCCGAACCATTAGCATGGCTAATACGATTCAGACGCCTTAACCACTCGGCCACTGGGGTGGCTTCCTTTCCCATAAGGTTTTAAATATATAATTTTTACACTAATCATCTTATTTTTAATCAAAGTTGAAACATAATAATTTTTTTAAACTTCATTCCAAATTTTTTCCTCATTTTCATATTCGAGGAAGTTAAAGTTCGAAAACACTTTCATAGCGCATAGAGCACATTTTTGCATTCCCTATTCTCCAAGGTTTGCAATTCAAGTTTAATGATTCACACCTGACCTTAAATAAAGTTCTCATGTCAAAAAGGCTTAATAAAGTCTTCCTCAAGGTAGTTCTTTACATAAAAGCGCTTAGCTTTTACCCGCGACTTCGTCCACGCAGGACTTTGTTTTAATGTACCTTTCTAATGCGATGCAGAGTTCTAGTTTGGCTTTCTATACAATGTCTCGTTTCTCAAATTTCCTCTTCAGGTCACTCGGTAAAGAATTTAAAGAGTTGTCTATATGATCTCCTTAGGGTCATTATAAGACTGCCGAAATTTCAGCCCTTCAGATCCAGTGGTTTGGTCTGTGCGTTTTCTATCAGTCATTTATAGAACTGTATTATATATATTACTTTCGTTTCCTCTACTTTACCTAGAACTTTCTCTTTCATATTTTCGTATATTTTGTAATACAAAGACTCACTTTGTAATACAATGAACTCTCGTGAATCGTTTCTGAAATGTATGTATATTTTTTTCTTTACTGGTTTAATTAGGCAGGTTGTTTGAGAGACATGTTTTATAGTAATTTCCATCTATTTTATTTATAATTCTAAATTATTTTTCTCAATTTAAAAAATAAAAATTGAGAAATCTTACAAAATCTAGGTACAATTGGTAAATGCAAAAAGCTTTTTCTAAGTCCATATATGCTTAAAATGCTCAAATGTGAACACCGAAGAAAGAGTCGTACAATTGATGTTAAGTCTCTAATGTTCTGCACAGTCATTCTTGTAATCGTAGACATGTGTTCTTTGAACACTATAGCATCTTTCAATTTATGAAAAAAAAATTTAAAAATGATTGATGATCATAGTCAAAGAAGTAGTAAAAGAACTAAACAAGACAGCTTGACTGGTTCCTCTTTTTTCGAATATATTATGAAGAAAATAATCCTGTTGAGACAGGTGCAAAGAAGCGAAGTTTCACATCGTTCAATTAGTTCCTCTCTGGAAAAGGATGCATTGAAGATCCTTATGCTTAAAGGTCTTTCGTCACGGTTTAACGTTAATGTTAACAGCAGTGTTTATAAACAGTAAAAAAAAATCGTACGAAATATTTATATTATCCGATCCAATTAATTTTCCGTTTGATTTATTGGGACATCCTGTTGTAATAGCTTTGCCATCTGCTTTTTACCCATAAAAGGTCAAAACAACGAAACTATCATTTTAGACCTAACCGTAAATTAAGTTGCAACACGCCCTCCGTGGCAACGAGATAAAAACGGGGAAATTTAGCTCCAATTAGATAATCCAACGGACCGTGGGGATGTTTTAAATACGTCGGGCTTGTTTACAGGGTGTGGCAGTTTCACGCGAAAAGTACTCGGAAAGGTCATAGAGACCGGGGGTCCGGGTGGGGTTGTTACCCACTGCTTTCTATACTTCTTATTACACAACTGTATTCTGTTTCTGTTACAGTTTATTGCCTAGTGAAAGGGATCGAAGTACGAATCCTAAGGCCCAACGCTTGGATCAAGGTTATGCGAAGTCCATTCCCACGATGCTAATTGTCTCCTGTATGATTAATTCAAATTAAAATGTCACCATTGGCAATGCTAACGACGTATCAGGTGTACCTGTCGGTCGTGTCCATTGTGTTCCCTTTATAACTCACTCAGATTGAATTATGGTTAATTGATACTTTGTAAATTTCGTAAATGAAAATATTAAGAAAAAGATAATACCAAAAACATCAGAGATATGGGAGGGTAATAAGCGTACATACTGGCTAAAAGCAAGGGGTCGTCAAATATATTTCGAGTTTGTTAAACTATATAGCTGAGAAGCTGATGTCATCCAATCACAGACCAACCAACACCACCAAAGTGTGAATTTGTTCATTTCAGCAGTTGAGGGTATAAAATTTTACCTAACGAGCTGCAAATTGTACAAGGAGTAATTATGGAATTACGAATTTGTGCCAAATAGGAAATGACCGGTTATAGTGATATTTCCTCTCACTTTCAAGACTCAGTTCGAGAATCCGCCTATTGGAAAGGACAGCTAGTTCGAAAGACTTTATTAAAATAATTACGCCTGATAATTCACTCGGAGGGTGAAAATAAGGCCGAATTTCGTGAGGAGATTGTCATCCAATTGATCCACACGGATGCCATTGCTCAATTAGATCTCTGGTTCAATGCCACAGATTGTTACGTTTTCCTTTTCAATTTTTATTAAAAAGTTGAATTAGGATATAAACATGATTCACGCCGTCAAAAATTCCTTATCTCGGTTCGTCGTGATGAAGTATTTAAGATGACCTGAGATAGTTCGATATGGCCAACCTTGACACGTTTAAAAACAATGCCATTCCATCAACCGGGCCATGTTTAATACATTTCGTGTAGGGTTTAGTGCCTCGTCACGACATTAAATAAAATGTTATCACGGGTTATCAACGCCTCCAAATGAAAATATGTACCACCATCATTCCATGAAAGACAATATAGTAAAAAGCTCTAGAAAAGTAATAGTAAGTTTTTTTATTCCCATGCGAGTTGAAAATAACCATGACCCACGCGTTTCGAAAGGGTAGGAGAATTCGGCCGGAGTTTGATCGGGCTTTAATGAGATTTTATTTGATTAAACAGATTTTGACGAAATTCGCATATATGACCTTCCTTTTTCCATTATTCTGCAGCATTGACGGTTCTAATAAATTTATCGGCGTCAAGGTTCATATCATGCATGTGTATAAGTTGGCCTATCTTTTC